TTTTGACCATATGAAAAAATGAGTGCACCTAGAAATAGTAATAACACAACTGCTGTAAACCAAAAATGGTGGATTCCAATAAATTTTGCGACTCGTACGAATCCGAATTTCTCGACAACTTCAGCCATACATTTGTTTTCACCAGAAGCTGAGGAGCTTATAATCGAAGATATCGATCAGCAAGACTGGATCATTGTTAACATTCTACAAACTGGTAAAAGAATTTTGTTTACAAATCTATTCGCTATTACTATTAACATATACAGGGTGGGGAAAAAGTCCCGGACCCTTGAAATATCTCGGAAGGAGTGAGATGTAGAAAAAAATATTTCAGACAAAAGTTGTATGGTTTCGAGGGGGCCATATGATAAAAATATGGACTTGACCTTGAGTGACCTTTTCAAGGTGAGGTCAATGTGATCGATGTTTTCTTAAATATATGTGTGCAGAAATATTAAAAACCAATTTTCTCGTTTAGATATATAAAGATTGGCAACTTGTAGAGTTGTCAATATCAAAAATGTTGAATCTAAAGCTCATAATCGACAGTTTTGAATATGTACAACCTCTTAATTTGGAGCCTAATACTCCTGAAGAAATTGACTCAAAACCTTCTTTATCAGACGATCACAAAGGTACCATTTAAAAAAAAAAAAATTAAATTAAATTAAAATTTATAATTAAAAGATATTTTAGTCATAATTCCTCCTTCCTAACAATAAAAAACATGATTATTATTTTAGCTTTTCTGCTTTTGCGGATGCTTTCACATTGCCTGTCCGATAATATATTCCATACGGGACTTGCTAAATATCGTGAAAAACAGTTTGTGAAATATTGCACTTTTATATGAAAATAGATATATTTACAACAAATAAATTTCTTGATTGAGCTTTTAAAATAACTATAATATTAACACTAAAAAAGTTATTAATAGAGTATGGCTATCAATTAATTGGCTTATCTTTCTAATTATTATCATAAATAGTACAATAAATATAATAAAATATACGTTATACATTGAATTACATAATGCAAATAAGTAAAATTTGGTATAAGAATGTTTTATACATATGTATTATGGCTTCTTATGTACAGAATAATCTTTTATAAAAATTTTAATGGATATAAAATGCTATATAGAAAACTGATAAAATCTATGAAATCACATAATATGTATATAAAAATTAATTCTTAGCAAATACGGCGTAGCCAATCCTGAAGATTTATGGAGTGCTTTGCAAGATGCATTTGATGAATCAGCAATGCCTTAAAATAAATTCAAAATTCAAGAAGTAATGGACACTTGGATAGGACAGAAAGGGTATCCACTTTTGTAACAGTGGTTAGAGATCAGTACAGACAAATAAAAATTACACAGAAATATTTTTGACCATATGAAAAAATGAGTGCACCTAGAAATAGTAATAACACAACTGCTGTAAACCAAAAATGGTGGATTCCAATAAATTTTGCGACTCGTACGAATCCGAATTTCTCGACAACTTCAGCCATACATTTGTTTTCACCAGAAGCTGAGGAGCTTATAATCGAAGATATCGATCAGCAAGACTGGATCATTGTTAACATTCTACAAACTGGTAAAAGAATTTTGTTTACAAATCTATTCGCTATTACTATTAACATATACAGGGTGGGGAAAAAGTCCCGGACCCTTGAAATATCTCGGAAGGAGTGAGATGTAGAAAAAAATATTTCAGACAAAAGTTGTATGGTTTCGAGGGGGCCATATGATAAAAATATGGACTTGACCTTGAGTGACCTTTTTAAAGTGAGGTCAATGTGATCGATGTTTTCTTAAATGGAACCCCCATTTTTTTTCACACTAATTGATTTATCTTATTATCGATCAATCAGCGCCGATTTTTAACCGGACGCACGTCGGTGAGCCACCCGCCTGATAGTGTGCGCCGGCACCGTAGCGACGGAGCGTTCACGCACACTATCAGGCGCGCGGCTAAAGATCGGCGCTGATTTTGGCAGACTTTACTCAATAATAATTTCTTTATTAAGCGTTATATAAAAAAATGTTACAGGACTTTTCTTTTCAGTTTATTGTGCTTTACCCACTCACGAGCGTTGGCACATCTTTACCGGACACACTGTATATATGTATAATTATAGTTATTATAAAATTTTTATGTGCAGTAATATAAAATTGTTATGTACAATAGCACAAAATACACATATAATTAATAAAAATAATAAATAATTATATGATGTACGTACATTTTTTTCCATGAAATACATAAACAAGTATAATTCTTACAAAAATGCGTCTCACTCTTTTAAAAAAGATGAATGCAAACAATTAAACTTTATATTTTCAAGATATCAAAAGAAAATAACAAATAGTAATAAATTAATATCTATAAAAAACTCCGTATTTATCTATTATACTTTTATATAATTTTTATTTAAATTTATATATTTTTTTATCAAATAATTGATTTGTGAAAAAATATCACAATTAAATTTAATTTACATTTAAATATTTAAGAAATAGATAGAGAAAGAAAGAGAGAAACTTGTATTAATTTTTTTATTATATACAGTTATTGTTGTCGGACAAGATATTGCTTCATATTTTATATGTAGTGAATTATCATTATATCAAGCGAAAATAGCAGACTTTACGGAAGTTTAAATAACGAAAAAAATGTGAAAAAAATAATTGATAACAAAGCAAAAGAAATATAAACAACTATATGAAAAAATATACATACATAAAAATAATAAACAAAATTGATAAACTATTAAATATATAAATAATTACTTTTACTAATTTTTAACTGTCTCAATTGTTTCCAATTATTGAATTATATAAACGTTTACGTGACCTGTTGCTTCCTCGCGATAATTACACAATAACTTCCACGTTAATCTGACGAAACCTAATGTTCATGCATTAAAGCAAGCTGTAATGAATTTACAGGTGGTTGGCAGTAATACATTTTTCTGCGCGACAGGATTTCCGTATATACTGAAACAAGCCCACTATAAAAGCGACCTTCAAATTTTCAATAAAATTCTAATTACGCAAGGCTGTCACTGTATGCTGTTCACAGGATTGATATAGCTGGCGGAAAATTATGAATATGCTTCAACGCCTATCGCGTCTATCAACATATTGGGATGATAAAAATGCATAAAAAAGGACCCAGCTTTAATGATCTTGATTTTGACATATTGCCTGCCTAATCCCCAACAAGTTTTATAAAAAGACGAAAAAGGACGACAAGAATATAACAAACATAACAAACACGTAACCAACATTATACATTTTACATATCCTGCATGTAGTTTATGATATATTTCCAATTCATTTTACTTGTTTACAGCTAAAAGCATGTTATTATCATTAATATTGATTTTTGATTGCTTTTTTATACATTTATTAAAAACGTATATGTGTTTATACTTTAATATATTTATACTTTGATTTATCATTTCACAATCGTAAGAGCTATAGATAAGATAAAGTATCGATCCACAGAAGAATATCTACAGCATGGTTTTACTGTAAAATTTTAAGCGCAAAATATATTAAAATAAAAATTAAACTAATTTATAACTGCATTAGATTTTTCTCGATTATAGTAACATAAAATTATTCATATATATAAAAGAATAAATTTAGCAGTGAAATGTTTTCTGATATTTCGTTTATATATATATATGACTTTTTATTACATTTATCATTACCAATTCAAAAATACCAGTTCAAATATATGCATGTCATAAATCTCTTATTTAATCTCTTCTATCAATAATCTTTTATGAACGTAAATTTTGATATTCTTTTGAACCTCTTTTTATTTATAAGGAAAACATATCTTCTATTAACAAAAAAAATATCAAAGTTTTTTTGTCATATTAATTTTGGTGTATTATTACCATAATATTGGTAAAAATTTTTAGATTATATCATAAACATATATGCGATTCGTAATTTATAGATAATTATGATATGATAGAAATTTTATAATTCTAAAGTTTTATAATGATATCTCTCTTTTGTATGATATTTGCACTATCATTCTCAGAAATCTATCTATATCCTCAAAATACTTTATTACTGTTATAATTCCAATTTATTAACTAATAATTAATTAATTAAATATCTTCTTCTTTATATATTTTAATATATTCTTTCTCTTTCACCCTTTCTTTTTTTCTTTTTGTAAGAAATATAATGCAATATAATTCTTTTAGAGATTGCAAATATTTTAAATAATATACAAAAGAATAAACAAAGTATTTGAATAATAAGCACGGCTATAATTGATTAATTAAATTTCTATAGTGCTTACAAAATCTTAACTTTTTTTTGTTCTTATCCAAAGTGCAAAATGTCATTTCTGCTTATAAAATATAACACTCAAACAATGTTTTTAATAATGAAATTACATCGAGTTATTTTTAATCTGATAAATAAATTGATTAATATCCAAAAGCATTTTAATCAAAGATCGAGGAAAAAAAATCCAATATCATTAAATGCTGAGAAGTAAGAAGAAAATAAAATTTATAAAATAATATTTATATCACACTATTAGAGAGAGAAAGAAAGAGAGAGAAAGAGAGAGAGAGAGAAAACTTATAAAAAATTGTGTAGCGCGCACGCGCAATTCTTTTTTACTAATTCTTTTTATTTTTTACTTTATTCTTTACCCTTTTTATTACTTTAAAATAAATAATTAATGAACATAACATCATGAAATAACACAAATATGTTCAAATCGTAAAAATATGAATTTTAATAACAGAATTTTTAGAACATTTTATTGCAAGGCGCATTCGATTTATAAGACAAATAAATACAATTTACTACTTATATTTTACAAAATATTATATTTTTATAAAATATGTAATGAATGTTAACTGTATCATGATTAAGTATGTATTATAATTATACATAAATTTTGTATCGCTTTAATCTAGATTATTATCAGTATATAAGTTTAGATTTATGAATAACTCACTACAAATGTATATAACATACTGATATAATTGTTGATGAGTCTCTCTTAAAGATTAATGTAAGACTTTTTGTTTTCTTGTAGTAATTTTTTTTTTCAGATATTTAATTAGTGAATGCAGTAGCAAATGACATTTTGTGTAAGCAGTAAAACGCGATAACATGATTTAATATAAAAAATGATGACATCGTTATTCATTAAACTTGTGATAAGATAGTAGATGATATCATAGATAATCTCAAGACAGTACCAGGGATCGCAAAACCGCATATAACAATCTGTTATTTCAGAATTGTATCGAGAATTGTACGCGCGAATTGTACAGTTAAAAACGTGCTGTGAAAATCGAATATATTGTTTGCCCATGATAGATATATAATAAAATCTTTCTATTACATTTATTTTATTTAAACGTGATTGATATATTAGTAAAATTAAAACAATTATTTTAAAACGCAATATTATTCTAGATATAAACAACTTTCGCTTATTTGTATTTATTCGTGAACGTTTATTTGCGAAGTAAAAAACATGAGAAAGCGTTAATAGTATGCGGTGAAACAGTTAGTAAAGGTAAGTGCAATAATTTCTAAATAGTTAAAATTCTTCATTCATTAAAAGAATATAGTACTATTTTATTTAGATAAAGATAAACTTTATATTAAACTCTACGGATTCTACGGCGTAGTTAATTAATTGCTAACAAAATTTAAAATTAAAAAAAAAGAAACTATACTACTACTTTGTTTTTTAGATGAAGATCTTTTGGAAACATCTGTTACTTTGCATCCTAATCATAGTGTTCGGCGGAAACACAGCAGAAAAATTTTCCTCTTATGAAGGTAATTCTATCTGCATCTTATATTCCATAAATATACTTTATATTAATTTCTCTCTCTCTCTCTCTCGTGAATAAAAAAATATGTATAGAATTGTATAATTATATTTTGTATATGAACACATTTTAGTGCATTCTTTATTAATTTTATAAAATTATACGGCATTTTTTTAACTACAAACGTAAATTATAAATATAAGTAGTAACAGAAAATTACGTGCTTAATATTAGCCGTAAGAATTTGTAATTTAGATTACTAATTCCCGAAATTATATTTCATATAAAATTGTATACTCATTGTTAGCATTTATACAAAAAGATATAATTTTTTTAAATGTATTGTTTTATATACATTGACAAATTTGAGAAATATAATATATTTATATACAGATATACTTACGCAAGATGTGGATTTCTCCCAATATCACGAGATATCACAAAATGTTGACTATAGATTACCAACATCTGTTAAACCCATTTCCTATGAAATCGCGCTTGTACCAAAATTACAAGACGATTTTACATTTGACGGCGTCGTGAAAATTATCGCTGTGGTGAAAAACGAAACCGACAGAATTACGCTTCACGCGGGAAATATTCAAATCATATCGCAGTCCGTTTTAGCGGACAATGAAAGCGTTATCGTCGAGCATACATATGACAAAATCACTGAAAAATACACCCTTAATGTCTCCAAAACTCTTAAAAAGGGATCGGAGATACTAATTGCTTTTGAATATAACGGTACCTTGAGTGACAACATGATCGGATTTTATAAAAGTTCTTACTTTGATAAAGATGGTCAAATCAAGTAAGTGATATACGTCATTTTTTAAAATCTATTTTATGTTAATAAAATTACAAAAATATAAACAATCATAAATTAAACAAAATATAAATATGCACATATTGTGTATAAATATTTTAATTTTTAATATAAATATCAGAGATCAATATAGAAATTTATAGAAATTTCTGAAATGAATCTTTTTTATAGATGGCTAGCTGCGACACAGTTTCAAACCACACATGCGAGACATGCATTTCCATGCTTCGATGAGCCGAGTTTTAAGGCAACATTTACAATTCGCATATCAAGAGACGAAAACTATACATGCCTCAGTAACATGCCATTCAACTATACCGAAAAATTGTAAGTGTTAAAAAAGCGCAGAATATATGCTTCATTATAGGTGTGCTGTCAAATTGACCTCTATCTTGTTTTAATACTATTTCTAACTCACTTTTTGTCTTTTAAGGGAAGGCCAGATCTGGGATACCTTCCAGGAAAGCGTCCCTATGTCCACCTATCTAGTGGCATTCGTCATTTCGAAATTTCATTCTTTTAGCAAAAACGATTTTAATGTATGGTCTAGACCATCCGTCATTAACCAAACGAGTTACGCCTTGAAGATTGGTACTGCAGCTTTACAGCTACTCGGTAACACGTTCGAGCAAGAATATGATCTTCCTAAAATGGACATGGTAGCTGTCCCCGACTTCGCAGCCGGAGCCATGGAAAATTGGGGATTGGTGATGTATCGCGAGCCTCGGATGCTGTACGACGAAAAAGAATCATCGGCACCTGCACAACAGAGCGTGGCTTCCGTAATTGTTCACGAGCTCACGCATATGTGGTTCGGAAATCTAGTGACACCAGAATGGTGGAGCTATCTCTGGCTTAGTGAAGCATTCGCCAGATATTTTCAATATTTTGGTACAGCGGAAGTAAGGGCAATATACAAAATATTTTATTATCATAGAATTATCGTCAAATTCAATTTTCAAGAAAAAATTAGGTTTAGATCCAGTCTGAATAATTTATACAATTTTGATTTTGTACAATTTACATCACACTTGTTGTAGATTGTTGAAAATCAATGATCGATTCTTGACATTACAACACTGGCACAATAATAAGAAACAGAAATTATACTTTTATATCTTTAAAAATTTGGATTAATAATTTTTCTGTCGTTTTAACGCTTAGATCGAGAAATCTTGGAACATGAGAGAGCAATTCGTGGTGGAACAGCATGAATCTGCTTTAATAGCGGACGGTTTTGAATCTTCTCGTCCGATGACTCGAGAGGTTTCTAATCAATCGCAAATCGAGGGAATTGGAGATTCTATTACCTATGCAAAGGGAGCTAGCATTGTTCGTATGATGAACCTCACGTTTGGAACCAACGTCTTCAAACCCGCATTACGCGATTACTTACATAACAAGTAAATATTACATACAAGAAATTATACAATTTATTGTATTTTATTTGAAAGTTTATTAGTTTCGTCATAAATATTTGATTTAAAATACAAAAATGTTTAAAACAATATAAAGTCAAATCAAGTAACTTGTAAAAGCAATTGATGCAACAATGGCAATAAAGAAAAATTAGATTAATTAATGTTAATATCAATTAATATATTTTTAATTAAAATATAAGTAGATAATGGATAAATTTTATACAATAAATAAATTTTTAACTAATCTGTTAGTATTCAATTTTGTTATTGTATAAATTAGATTCACACACATTTTGATATAAATTAAATATATATCGACTAAAATTGCTGATACTTATAAGAAATTTTGCATTTTTTTTTCTCACAATGTGCAATTATTACATGCATAATATATATTTTTAGCAAAAACGAAGGACTGGGCAATCCAAATGCTTTATGGGAGGCAATGCAGAACCAAGTGAGTTATCAACATCAACTTGCAGCACAACCCAATGTAAAAACAATAATGGATACCTGGACTACACAAGCTGGATACCCCGTTGTATCAATCAATATCGATGACAAAGGCATATTCCATATTACTCAACAACGCTTTCTTTTAAGAAACTTGAATAAAACTCCCACGAATGTTATTTGGTGGGTCCCACTTACATGGGCTACACAAACCAAGCCGATTTTTGATAATACTCTTGCGAAGTATTGGCTGTCCAACGAAAAAGATACTATAGATCTTAATCCGATAGATAATATAGATCCGAAAGAGTGGGTGATATTCAACGTTCAATTATCGGGTTAGTACAAACTTATTATTAATGCTGGATTATATTGAAAAACAAAAAATTTTAATTAAATAGCAATTATGATGAGATCGTCAAAAAAAAGTTTATATTAAAATGAATATTTTAAATTAAAATATTTTATATCGACAGAGAGAAATTGCTTAAAAGACAACTTTAATTTTTAATTTTTATTATAGGTTTTTATCGTGTAAATTATAATTACGATGGATGGCAGCGTATTTTCAATGTCTTAAATAGCGACAAATTCGATGAGATTCACGTGTTAAATAGAGCCGGCATCATAGACGATTTGTTAAATTTGGGTAGAGCAGGACTTTTAGACTACAAAATAGTTTTGAATGGAATAGAGTATCTTAATCAGGAAACAAATTATTTGCCCTTTAAAGCAGCATTCAATGGTTTGGATTACTTGAATAAGCGATTTACAGGATACGATGAACATTCTTTATTCAAGGTTGGTCAATTATTAAAGATTACATCAAATAAATTATGTACAACTAAGCATAAAAAAGCATTTGTAACTATAATAGTCGTAAGCTAAATTCAAAAAAATTATCTAAATTTTAATATAAATATTTTAATAAAAATATTTTAATATAAAAAAAGCAATAACAAATCAACTTTTGCCTTCATCCGATAAATCATACAATTATGTAATGCCATTTCATGTTTTTAGAAACACGTCCTATCTCTTATTTATAATAAACGCAAAAAATTAGGATATGAAGATAGCACAAACGATGATAGATTAACGATTCTATTACGACGAGAGGCAAACAATTGGGCCTGTAATTTAGGTGACGATGAATGTATAAGGGTTTATATGAAGAAGTTCAAACAATGGAAAAATACTTCTATTCCGTAAGAATATACAAGCGATTATTTTTCTTATGTTTTTCATACAATATACATATAATATATAATAAATACACATATAATAAGTAATATATATGGAATAGTGAAGTTCAATGTTTAAATATCTTCTAATATCTTACGATCTGTTAACTCTTTGCGTGTATATCTCGCAAAAAGAATTAAATGATTGTGTAATTTTAATATTCGACAGTATTAAGCCAAATGAAAGGACTACGACATATTGCGTAGCCGCAAGATATGGAACTCCTGAAGATTGGGAATTTTTATGGAAACAGTATCTGAATTCCAATTATGTGACCGACCAAACAGTGATTATAAGCGCTCTTGGATGCAGCTTAAATATCACCATTTTAGAAAAGTAAGACTAAAATATGAAAATATTGTTCTACGTCTTAATATATGAAAGTATTATTACAAAAAAAAGATAAACAGATAAATAAATAGATAGTATATTTATACAACTTGATGGTCCATCTGTCTGTATAATCAATCATAGTTTATATGGCAAGAAAATAGCAGCGCGATGGTTGTATTTATATGCCGATATAATATTGTATTTAAAAATTAATTTTTATTATTTCTATATTCACAGATATCTGGGATATGCCATCAGCAGTTACGCAACCAATCGAATTCGTAAGCAAGACAGCACGAATGTCTTCGCTGCCGTTTATAATTCTGGCTTGATCGGCGCCGAATATATTCTTGATTTTGTTGAGAAGCATTACAAAGAGATGGAGAAATAGTAAGACCTCTTTATTACAATGCAGTATACAAATGCGTAAAACAGAAGCAGAATATAATTAATATTTGAGTCACATTTAAAACAAATAGAATATTAATAACGTGTTAATGTACATATATGTCACGCGTAATTATAAAGCATCTATCTTCGAATTTTTTAAGCTATGAGATGCAAAATGTTAATTAAATAAATAATGTGGTAAAAAGAAAGCATAAAATGGAAGATCATTTCGAATTAATTTTACAAGCACGCTATTTCTTCAGTTATGGAGGCCAGAGTACGATAGCCACGATTCTCGATGGAGCATCGCAAAGTTTCTCCACACCTAGATTAGTGGACAAATTTCAAAATCTCATAAACGGGCATAAGACGGAATTTGCGTCGATCCTCAAATCTCTAGAATCCTCTTTAAGGATCGCTAGATACGAATTGGAATGGTACAAGTCCACTTCGGTACCTATTATTCGATGGCTACAACAAAAATATCGCCTACCAACAAATATAAGTCCCAGAAAATATGTTATATCAATTATGCCTTATCTCGGGATGGAAAATTTTACCGTCGATGGACACGTCAAGATTGAAGCCGACGTTGTGCAACAGACAAGACAGATCGTTTTGCACTCGGCAGAAATTAAGCATCATACGGTAACTGTGACGGCTAATCAGACACAAGTTAAAATTGTAAATCAAAATATCGAAAAGGAATATGACTTTTATGTGATCAATCTTGATCAAGAACTGCCCGCTGGAACGAAATTGATCATCGAAATCGAGTACACGAGTCACTTAAATCCATCAGAGCTTCGTGGCTTTTATAAAAGTTCGTATGTGAACGAAAATGGAAAAACGAGGTAATGAATTGAGTATTATTAATAGTAAATCTCCGGATTTAAGATTTAATAAATTATTTTATGCAAGTCAGTACTGAATACTTCTTGAATGCTTTTTCTATTTTGCAAAAAAATATTGAGGAAATGGAAATTTTTCTCAAGAAAAATTACGATTGTCTCATCTTGAATTTAAATATTTCGGATGACTAGTCTTATCAGCAAACATGATAAAAAAGATAACTTACAATTAAAATTTATATATTCGATTGATTGTGTTATACTAGATGGCTTGCAGCCACGCACTTAGAACCCGTTGGCGCCAGAAAAATGTTCCCTTGCTTTGATGAACCGGCAATGAAAGCACTCTTCACTGTTCAAGTTAGAGTACCATTAGATTACAAAGCTGTCAGCAATATGGAATGGCAATCGGTGACAAAAGTGTATGTATAAATTTAAATATACTAGATGTTTCCTAACATAAATTTGATTAAATATTATCTCTTTTAACTTTTTGATTAAGATAATGTATATTTATATACACGTATAATTTTGATATTATATTATAAAAAAACAAATAATATAAATACACTGATATAAATACATTTAACAAATTATTACAGTGATGATCGTCTATTATACACTTTCTTTGAATCAGTAAAGATGTCGACGTATCTGGTAGCAGTTATTATTTCCGATTTTGAAATTAATCGTGTAACAAATAAAACTGCCATACTCGCGCGTCCCAACGCCATTAATCAAACGGAATACGCTGCATCCTTAATATCTCCACTCGTGAATTTCTTCGAGACCACAATGAGACAGCAATATGAAATCTCCAAACTTTACATGGTCGCGCTACCAGACTTCCCATCAGGCGCAGGGGAAAATTGGGGTCTCTTGACATATAGAGAACCATATTTATTATACGATGAGAATCACTCTCCGATCACAAGCAGGCAGAATATCAGGAACGTGATCGCCCATGAAATTTCCCATCAATGGTTCGGAAATTTGGTCACTCCTTTATGGTGGAAGTATTTGTGGTTGAACGAGGGATTCGCCAGATATTTTGAATATCACGTTCCTGCTCGTGTACGTAATTAAGTTATTCTGTTAAGGTATAATGCTGATTTAATGACCAGACGCGCAACAAACAGTACAAATAATCTTTTCACTAAAGAAAAAAGCTTTCTAAAAAAAAAAGAGATTTCTCTATATTAAACGCATTAATATTCATATGCTTTACACGGAATAATATATGTTTTTATATATAATGCATATTTTATATTTTAATGCATTAAAATATAATGAGCATTAAAATGAGAACATTATTTCACCTGAAAATCGTCTTAAATAATAGATTATTTGTATATTAGGTATTTAATGACACGACGTTGGAATCGCAATTCGTGGTGGACCAAGTGCATTCTGCTTTTAAAGCAGACAGTTCGAACTCTACGCACGCCTTGAATTACGACGTATATAGCCCAAGTGAAATTCGAAGTATATTCGATAGTATCACTTATAACAAAGGCGCCAGCATATTAAGAATGCTAGAAAAATCATATGGAAACGAAATGTTCTATGAGGCATTAAGAGATTATCTTAGCAAAAGGTACGTTTGTAATCGTAAATATGATGTTTTTTTTTGTAAATTAAAAATATTTTTCTTATTAATTAAACAAAATGAGCAAAAAAATCTCCTTAATTTTTATTAACGATTATTAAAAGTTTATTGAATATTGATTATTATTTAAATATATAGACACATATACAATACTATATTATTTTATATATAATAATATTAATTAATAAATTATATATAAAAAATTAATCATAATAAAAAACTATTTTTTTTAAATAGCTAAATAATTAGCTTCTATTAATCATATCTCTTTAACAAGATAATGATCTAGTAACTGTAATTGTAAGAAAATGGAATTGTAATAAAACTACTCATGGTAGATATGTATTTTTCCAATGATATAAAAAAGTATTTTTTTAATGCTTAAAATATATAAGAGCTTAAATATATAAGAGCTTATATATAATTTTGTAAACAGACATTAATCTGCTAGAAAAAAAAAATACTTCTTACTTAATTTTTTAGAAAATACAATGTTGCGACATCGGAAGACTTATACGCAGCATTTCAAACACAAGTAACAAAAAAAGGACTGAAAGACAATATCAAACCCATTTTAGACACGTGGGTTAATCAACCCGGTTATCCTGTCGTTTATGTTGATATTAAAGAAAATAATGTAATTTTGAGACAAGAACGATTCTTCTTTAAACAAGATGAGGATAATTCTACTTATACGTGGCATATCCCGATCACATGGGCATCGGTCAATAATAGTTTAGAATATTCCAATACCACGCCAAAGCTTTGGTTTACAAAGAATGAAACAAAAATCAGCAATTCATCAACCTCGCTTTTAATATTCAACGTACAGCAATCTGGTAATCAAACGAAACAAGATTAAAAAATGAAATTCTCTAAAAGCACAATAATTATGATAAGTACATACATACACAAGATTTCAATACTTAACAATTTTTAATACACATATATTCATTAGTTCATAATGTTATTTTCAAATCCGCATTTATAAATGCTCCCATTTGTTCTCAGGTTATTATCGTGTGAATTATGACGAAAAATATTGGATGAAGCTATTTGATTATCTTAAATATGATAATATTAATACAATTCATAAAAACAATCGCGCAGCATTAATTGATGATCTTATGAATTTGGCAAGAGCAGATTACATTAATTATAAAACAGTTATATCAGCTCTAATGTATTTAAAACAAGAAAATGATTATATTCCTTGGCGTGCATTCTATAATAATCTGCCTTACTTGAACAACCGTTTTCGGGGACGTAGTATTGAAGATATATATAAAGTACGTATATATTATAGAAAGAGAGAGAGAGAGAGAGAAAGAGAATTACAAAAAGAATTAATATATTCTAGACGTGAATATATTGCTGAATTAAACTAGTAAATATTAAATTTTTGTATTATTTTTAAATGTAAAATAATTACTGAAAATTTTGTAAATTTTTTTACGATTTATACAGATGCAAAATTATATTAAAATAGTTCAATTATTTTAAAATTTCACATATATATATATTAATATAGTACAAGCTTTTTTCTTTTTTATTTAAACGTAATTTTTTGATTATATATTTTGTTAATGTGTTTTTAGATGAAATATCTTTTGTAACTGCAATACTTTTTTATAATAGTTGATATTTTTATTTACTTATAATATATTGTATAATGTAACTTAATAGAAAAGAATATTCCATAGAAACAAATATATATATATATATATATGATGTTTTTCAGGCATATTTAACATCGCTTATAGAACCGCTTTACACACGATTAGGTTTCAAAGATCGGTGGTACGATGATGATTTAACTATCATGTTAAAAATGCATACTCGCAAATGGGCTTGTAAATTAGATATAGGAGATTGTAAATTTTATGCTGCAAGATATTTCCAACAAAAGCGATATTCAAATACGTAAGTTTAATAACAAATTACAATATGCTTATCTCTCATACTTACAAAACTAGTTACAAAGCATAATATGGTGATTGGCCAGAAAGCTTAGAAATAAATATATGAACTAAAATACATTTAAATATCATAATAACATATCAACCATATTCACAAATATACTGATTGTTTTATAGGATATCTCCAAACTATCGCGATGTTGTTTATTGCACAGCTATGAGTACAGATACGACAAAGCATACTTACGACTTTCTTTGGAAAGAATACTTAAACAGCAATGTCACTACAGATAAACTTGTGATTCTTAGCTCATTGGCATGTTCACAGAATAAAGATATTTTGGAAAAGTAAGTGTACATGTATATATATATATATATATATGTGTGTGTGTGTGTGCGCGCGCGCGTGTGCGTGTGCGTGCGTGCGTGCGTGCGTGTGTGTGTGTGTGTGTGTGCGTGTGTGTGTGTGTGTGTGTGTGCGTGCGTGCGCTTGCGTGTGTGTGTGTGGGGAGGGGGAGTGATATTCAAAATTTTCATATAAATTATCGAAAATAATTGATTGGCGTCCATAAATTACGTATGGTATTTTATATTAGAACATAATCCAAAGTATACTTGTGTGTGTGTGTGTGTGTGTGTGTAAAAATTATAATTTGTTCTGTACAATTTTTAGAGAATTTATATTTATAGCGTCATTGTAGGCGCTATCGCGCAAGAACCAATCAATTTTATAAAAAAATATTGAAAAAAGATTATATATAATACAAATATATATGTATTACTGTTTTCATCAAGGTTATTGCGGGATGCGGTTGCAAAGAATTCATACATACGCTACCAAGACAGCGCAAAAGTATTCTCAGATGTCTACGATGCAAGTTTAATTGGCATTGAAGTTATCATGAATGTCATTAAAAATAATTACGATGATATACTACATAAGCAGTAAGTAAATACCACATGCAATAATAAAAATTATATATATAATATAATGTAACATATATAAATGTATATGTATGTCATATATTGTATACTTACATAACATATTTCATTTACTATATTACATAACATTTACATTACCATTTCCGATTACAGTTTTGATGATTATACAAAAATCGGACAAATAGTAAACTCTCTGGCAAGCAGATTATCTACTCATCAACTTTATAAACAGGTAATTGTATCATCAAACATATTACATATTTTGACTGATTTTATGTATTTTGCATACCAAATACTTAAAAAAAACTGTTTTGATAAAAATATTTATATAAAAGTCTAAAAAATCTTTATAACAAATAATAATTATATTATAATCTTTCTTTTTCAACAAAAACACATTTTATTAAATATTAAACTAAGCAATAAATAAAATAAATTAATAATTAAAGTAAAGTAAAATGATATAATAATAGTTAAACTTTATGTAAATTTTTGTTAAGAAAAGTCAATTGTAAATATGTCAAAACATATAATTAAAAATATATTTTATGCAAATATTACCAGATATTTTAGGCACATTCTTAATAAATTGATATTTTTAGAATTTTTGATGTCAGTTGATATCTGTTTGATCAAATTTATCTTTGATTCGTAGTATCGAAACTTACTGAATTGGCTGGTCGAGAAAGAACCAGCGTTCAACAAGTTTGTCGATTCCTATTTATTAACGGCGCAATACGAATTTGATTGGTACGAGAGAAAAGCGCCAATAATTTTTGAAGAATTGGACAAGCTGTTTTTAAATAACAAATACCGCTTGCCGAGCGCACTTTACCCAAAACTGTATAACGTAACACTCAAACCTTATATGGAGGAAGGCATCTTTGAAGGAAATGTGCAAATATACATGAGAGTCGAGAATGATGCTATGTCCATAGTTCTCAATTCGCACAATCTTAATATTTCGAATATAAAAGTCTTCAGAAATTACGTGGCGGGCAAAAATTTGAATGCCGAACCAATACAATCATTGAACTATATAAATGAGCAACTATTTCCACAACAATTAAGGATATATCTAAATTTCGAAGTCAAAACTGCGGAGAACATAATGACAGAAATTGACTTTAATGGTACTCTTAATGACGATATGCAAGGATTCTATCGTAGCTCCTATTTAGATGGTAATGGAGTACAACAGTGAGTAATATTTATTATTACATAACATATAAGTTATATGATAATTAAACGATAATATCTTGTGTGTGTGGGTGATGCCATTCCTTAAAAAAAAAAAATAAAAACATGCAATTTTTCGTAAGTTTCTCATTACAGCTTTCCGAATAAAATTATAACTCAATACGGATATTAATACAAAACAACATTGAATCACTCGCATATTAGATTTTAATATTTATAGTAATATTTACATTACAGTTTGTTTATTAATTTATTACAGTTGGCTAGCAACAACACAATTCCAGCCTACACATGCTAGAAAAGCCTTCCCCTGCTTTGACGAGCCAGCATTTAAATCGCACTTTATAATTAATATTGAAAGACCAAACCATTACAATGCACTGAGTAATATGCTGCAATCTAGAGAGTTGAAGTAAGTATGAGTAAAAATATATTTAATACAAATCTGAATATGCATGAAAATACAAAATAACTTTTTAATATAAATTAATAATTATCTTTACGTTATATATATAGTAATTGTTCATTATTTTAGAAACGATAACTATACATTGGATATATTCGAAATTAGCGAAGTGAAAATGCCAACGTATTTGGTAGCGTTTGTTATCTCCGAATTTAAGCCTGTGAATAAATCTGAAAAGTTTTTAAATGTATGGGGCAGACCCGAAGTCGTAAAGCATGGCAAATATGCTCAAAATATCGCCAAAGCACTTATTAATGAGTTACAAAACTTCACGGATATCGATTATCCTTTACCTAAGCTAGATTTAGTGGGAATTCCGGATTTTTCCATGGGCGCGATGGAGAACTGGGGCCTGCCTACTTTTCGGTAAAATATTCTCTACTCTTAATTTAATAATCATAGAAATACATACAAATATAATACATACAAATACATATTTATCGGGATTGCATACATATTTTTTATAAATTATTTGGACTGCATAAATAATATGATTTCTTTAACAGTGAATACGGACTCTTTTATGACAAAAACAAAACCACGGCCACGTACGAAAAATACATGATCACTGTAGTAGCGCATGAACTTACACACATGTGGTTCGGGAATCTAGTTACATGCGCATGGTGGAATTACATTTGGCTTAATGAAGGCTTTGCTCAATATTTCGAATCGTATGCTGCTGATCAGGTGTGTACGATATATTTGCATATCATATTTTTTACTCCATAATCAGCTTGTTCAATATGTGGCAAATCATATATTTTTTAAAAATTCAAAGAAATTTATTTTAATTTAAAGATTTTTTTCTCTCTTTTAATATTAAGTTTTTCTAAGTTCGTAAAGAGAGATAGATCAATCTATTATAGAGTTAAATTTTTCAAATAATATCTTGTTACAGATATTACTATTTTAACAAGAAATATTGATAAATTTGCGCAATTTTTTTTTTAGATATGGCCAGATTACGAATTTATGAATCAATTCGTGGTTTACGAGCTGCAGCCTGCTTTGTTACAAGATTCTTTGCCGTCAGCCCATCCCATGACAAATTCCGTTGAACAACCTGAAGAAATAAATAATATTTTCGACTATGTCACTTATGGAAAATGTACGTATATGTATCATATAAAAATCTTAATATGATCAAGATACATAATATCTTGATATACTTAACATCTAAAGTAACTGGAAAGAATTTTTGAAGAAATATTCTTTACGATAAACTTTTAGTTAGTTTTAATATTAAAGTAATGTGTCTTACGGATTAAAAATATAAAACTTATACAAAATACATATAGTTATAAAAGTAAGAAAAATTTATTATTATTTTTATAACTTATTTTTCTAAAAACAATTTATATTGTAATAATTGTATTATTTTTTTACAATCACAAAGTATTTTATTATCAAATCAGATTTTTTTGTTTCATTATTAATGTTTGAAGCATCCTATTCGAGAATCTGTTACATAAAAAAGCCATTTTTAATACTGAATATTGAAATATTTATATATGTTTTAGCCGCCAGTGTTTTACGAATGCTATTTAACACATGGGAAGTTAAAATCTTACCAGAAACTGACAAATTAGTGCTTCGCCATTATTTAAATAAACAAAGAGAATACGGTACGGCACGTCCTACAGATTTATGGAAAAGCTTCGAAAAATTTGTATCGATATCAGTTGAAAAGGCAAGCATCGAGGAAATAATGGATACTTGGACGAATCAACCAGGATATCCTGTCGTGAATGCTACACTAAATAATAATATATTAACGCTTACTCAGGTAATATCATATAGCTTTATATTATGTCGTTTTTTTTTTCATATTTGGCTTAAAAATTCTTCAACCTAATTTAATACTATTGTTTTGAATAGGAGCGATTTCTAATGGACAAAAGTACTACTAACAATGAATTTTATTGGATACCAATTCGTATCGCCCTGCCTAATCCGAACTTTACTTATATAAATATCGGTTCTGTAGTATGGCTAGGATCAACACCCGAAACTGTGTATATCAGCCCCATTAACGAGTGGTTTATCGTGAATTACCATCAAACCGGTTTTTATCGTGTCAATTACGATACTTATTCATGGAGACGATTAATCAATCAACTGGATAGCGAAGGATTCGAATCAATCCATGTCTTGAATCGTGCTCAAATTATAGACGACCTCTTTAACTTAGCTCGCGCTACTTACGTAGATTATGAATTGGTGCTAAACGCATCGAGGTATTTGACTCGGGAGACAAATCATTTACCTTGGAAAGCGTTCTTTAACGGCTTGTCATATGTCTACGAAAGATTCGAAAAACAAAGCGAATATCAGGAGTACCTAGAAAGATATATTTCGAAGATATTATCCAAGATGTATGAAAAAATAGGATTCGATGATCGCGATGACGACAAGTTTCTGGATAGATTAAATAGAGAGATTATTCTCCAGTGGGCTTGTAAAATTAATAACATGAAGTGTGTAACAAAATCTAAAGACTTATTTGTGGCTTGGCGTAATAATATTCAAAAACGGTAAGATTCCAATAATCTTTTATAAAATTATTAAACTGATTATAACATTTGTTTTGATCAATATGTAATCTCCCGCTTCTTTTTTCTTTTTTTCATATATTAATTGTTTCTGCCTAACGTAAAACAAAAGTTTTTATTTTAGAAGCTATGAAATTTACTTGAAAATAAGAATAATATTATTAAAATAAAAAAATTATCTTGAAATAAAAAGTTTAATACAAAAATAGAAAAAAAAAATAGAAGATCTTTGAAGATCAGAGAAAACCTGATTTTCACCAGAGACTTAAATTTAAATAATTTCAAATAATTATATAGATTAATAAATACATACTTGTGCGACTTTTCTAAAAAATAAAAATCTTATCCACTTTTCTTACTCACAGAATCCCATGTAATGCACGACCAGCTGTCTATTGCACCGCGATAAAGAACGGGATTAAAAATGATTGGGATTTCCTATGGAAAGAGTACCTAGAAACAAACTTTGATTCGGAGAAAAAGATTATTATAAATGCACTTGGGTGTTCTACAGACAAAACGGTGCTCCAAAAGTAAGTTTATAAATAGAAAGTGCAATATCAACATTCTTTCTGAATTTATAAAAGTAGGATTATACATGCATTTCCTCATATCTATGTTGAGTGTGTATGAGAAACTTATTAAAATTATAAGTCGTAATAATCTTCAATTGCTTGAATACAATCTCGCATGCAGTCTTATCGCGCTCAACGCACGGATTCACGAAAAATTTATTTAAACAGCTATCTAGGGAAGGCCATCGAAAAATACAATCCTACAAACGCTGCTATTCGCCGACAAGATGTTTCAGCAGTATTTGCTTCCGTATATAGCGCAAGTCAACTAGGAGTGAATGTCACTCTTGACTTTTTAATAGCAGATATCTCAAAAGTCCTTGATTAGTAAGTATCACAGCAATATTGATAGAATTTGAGTAAAATTCTATTGCAATTTTTGGCAAGAAAATTCTTTCATTTATACGCTTCCATTATAGTTTCGGCAATTGGGACGATGTGGCGACTTTGTTCCATAATGTGGCATCTCATATATCAAGTTGGGATCAATACAATAAGGTATAAATATAATCAGATAGATAATTATAATTTAATTATTCATGTATAATAATTTTTGAAAATTCCGAGAGAAAATAACTTGCTGATGTGCTAATATGCTGACAGCCGACATGCTATCGTTTTAATTATTAATCATATCACAAGTGCGATACTTAGTCACATAACTTTTTCAAGTAATAGATTAAATAACGCAATAATGTATTCTTTTTTTAGCTGAACAAATTTGTCGAATCTTATATAATTTTGCACGCTCCAAACAAAGCAAGATTTGCTTCCGCCGTCACTACTGCAAAAACCAATTTGATATGGTACTGGAGACATAATCAAACAATTAATCAGTGGATAATAAAAGAGTTTACAGATCCTCATACAGGTCCAAATGGTTGTACTACGATAGGATCGATGAATGTTATTTTTATAATTCTCATTTCTTTAATATCATACTTTTTAAGTTGTTACTGACAATGAGAAACTGTATTGAACAAAAAATAATAACAAACATATAGAGATTATTTCCTAGTTTTCTATTTTACACAGAACAAAAAAAAATTTAATCTTTATAATTTCTTCTCTTTAGATAGTAGGTTTTTAGATTATAGTCAATAATATTCTCTTTAGATAATAATTTACTTTTTCTAAAGGATTAACAATATAAATAATGTTTCATTTTATTTATATAATGCTTGATATAGAAAAAATTATATCTTTAAGTTTTGTATTAGGTGAGTAAAGGTAATATATAAAATGGGACATAATCAGTAAAATGAAAAATAATCTTCAATATAATAATGTTTTTTAAATATATTCCCCCTACTAATCCCATATTATACATAATTTCGATCCAATTAATATATGTTTTTTATTATATATTAATATTTATATAATTATATTTATATCAGCTCTTAAATAATTGGGCCCAAAAAAACGCAACGGATATATATCTTTTAAATTATGCTTACAATTGTTTGTCAGAACGTTAATATTAAGTAATACTAACTGACAATAAGTATATTAAGTAATACTAGTTGTATATCATTATTATAAAAGAAGTTATTGACACAAATAATAATACAAATTATTTTATACCAAATATCTATAAAAATAAACAACTACATTGTGATTTTTTTCAAAATTATTAACAATGATATAATTAGAGAATTATTATTTCCACCTAATGGCTGATTGAAACTAATTGAAATAAGAGAAATATATATATGTTTGTTTTCCATTCTTAAAAAAGGCATGTTAAATCAATATTTGAATGTATCAAAGTCCTTTTAAAAGTTTGAAAGTTTTTATTGTTGCTTCTTTTCATACAACTGTTATCATGTAATAATTATGGTATGTAAGAAAATTGCAACAAAATAATATTTTTTATTTTTTATCTGTATTACTTCTATTTGTACTTTACATAATAAATGAATAAATCACGAGAAATACACGCTTTGATAATGGACAATCATCGCATTACAGTTACGCAGCGTTTACCGAAAGTTGATTATAATTGTTAATTATAATGATTATAGCGAATTATTTCCCGATACTTGTCGCGATTGCGTTTCAAAAAAAAATTCGACAATATATGAAACGTCTCGCATTATTATCTTCTCACTCAAGTCGCGCCGTTTGAATGACAACAAGATGACTAGATGTCTTATTGTAAATAATAATATGCGAAGAAAAACAATAGTCAAATACCGTGTGACAATTAATTTGTTACCGTCTCAAAATATTCAATATTTTATAATATAAATTTGGGCTAAATTTCTTTTGTGTCTTCTTACATTTCAAATTAATTTCAATAAATGGGCCAACATCGTATATAAAGTCTAACATATTCATTTAAAAAATATATTTTATCTTAATTTAATCAAGAAAATATTTAAGTACATTAATTTAATATTATCATTTTATGCCAGATTTTTATATTTTGAGAAGATATCTCTTGTTTGAAATTTAGAGATTTTTTATTTGCAGTTTATTAATATATGACGCAAGAAATAAATGGCGCGCGTGTATAGCACATACTTTGTAATATTCTAATATTAATAAAAAATGAAATAACGCATCCAATAGAATTTGTAAAAATCGATACAATTTTATTTTATATATATCCATACACTGAGTGTGTAATGTTTTCAATCAAAATAAAGCTGTATTATATATTTTTAATCGGTTACTGTCGTTATAAAATACAGGCGATCACAAGGAAATAGTCGCGTTGCCAATCTTTAATATACATATGATCAAAATCTTATCGCATACGAATTGTATAGTAATTAGTTTTGTAGCGGGTATTCATGTACTGAGAATATAGAGAACTCTTTGAAATTCTAAGTACATAAAGTATTAAATTATGCTATAGACAATATTTGATTTCTTAAGCAATTTTCAACATACATATGTATATTTGACTACAATATACGTATATAAACTCTTTTATTGTCTTTATTAATGAGCAATTAAAAATATTTTAATTGCTTTTAATATTATAATTTTAGAGCATGTATCATATCGAATGTTTTAGTAGTCACTATAAGAAAATGCGGCATTCATTAATAGAGAACGAATCGACCTTTTTTCTAATTTTAGAATTAGATTATTATAATATAAATCGAATTAATATATATTTGTTTAATTATATATAAATATTTTTAATAAGATTTGTGTCAATTATCACTTCGATAATTTATTATTTTTTACAAATATATCAATTTAATAGAATATATACAATAATTTTTTTCGCGTATTCCTTAAAATGACAAAATTATATAATTTGTTTTTTTTTCAGCTGAATATTTAAAACACATATAATTCTAGAATTAAGAATTTTATGATAAATTCTTTACCTCTTATAATATTAACTAATTGTTACTTCGAACATGTATGTATTTATCTTCTCTATTACTTGTTTGGGTTCACAGTGAAGCATTTTACGCGTAAAGTGATATCTATAATATAATCATGTGAGTAAAGATCTATTGTAAAGAGATTCTTGATGTATGTATATTATCTCACACTCTTCCCATAGAATACACTTCATGATCTAACGGTATAATCGAGAATGTAAACGCGCCATGCGGGAGAGCGATTACACTCTTCGCCACCTTCATAAATATCATTTACATACAATAATCTGACCGTATATTTACAAATACATACAAAAAAAAACACGAAATATTTTTATACAATTCAACGATAGACTGTTTCGCAATTTCACTCCATGTATCTCATCTGCTTCATATGGACGAATTTTCGTCGCGTCACTTTGACGCTACAGTAAAATTCGGCAATAAATCAAGGCGTGCGATACCATTATCACACCGAAAAGTTATTTAATTTTTTATTGAGATCGATCATTACGCGGTGTTTCTCTGTAACCAATCGCGGATTATTGCATGATTGCTATCGATCCATCGTATATTGGCTTCCGCTTGCTCCACCGTCTGTTGTATGGTTCGCGTTGCCGTACCTAGTTCATTTATGTGTTCAGTTGCAAATTCCAGGAGCTAGACAAACATAACATCATAAAAATGAGAATATATATTTATTGCAAACTTTGTGTTTCTCGAAATGCAGCATTGTGAGATTTCTTCGTAAATTATGAATTTAAGCGATGAATGCTTGTCCATAAATTCTTTGAGTTTTCCGAATAGAATTATGTTAACATTTTTGTCGTATTTTTTGTCTAGATTGCTAAGTTTATTGAATCACTTTTAATATTTAACTTACATCTTTTAATTCGTATCTTGTACTTATTCCCCTGGTGGACGATTTTGCGATATTATTGATAGTTAATAGTGACGTTCCAAAACTGAAAATAATAAAAAAATTCGTGTTACATTAAACATTTGACAAACGAAATATAGATTAAAAAAAAAACTATATTTGTGTTTCCAAATTTGTATTTTGGGAAAGCCTTCTGTGACTGTGACGCAGAATACATAAAAATATAGACAAAATATAGAGATAGCTTACTATTCCCTGAGACGCGTCCATTTGTTTCTAAAATAGTTAAACGCGATCGGCTGACCAATGACGTTACTAGCGATCGATCCGAAAACTCGGCTGACATCCTGTTTTCTGATTCCTGAATTTTCCGTGATAGCCCAATCTAAGTATCGACTGAGCAGCCATGTCTCTCTCGTGCAACCCAGTGCCTGTAAAAGCAGATCCTTCTCCGATCCTACATTAGTTGCTCGATATCGCTGCCAAGCGAAATCCCATTCGATTTGTCCACCCATTCGAATAGCTGTACAATAAACCACACCCTTCAAATTCGGTGAGATCCTAAAACACGAAACTTTTAATACTCACAAAAGTATAAATACTGTATTGATTGTGAATGAATTTATTAATTATTCTTTAAAGATAATTAAGTTTTTGAAATAGTATAGGTTGCATCTCAACATATGTTGATAGAATGAAATCATAACTCGTTCGTTCCAATCATTAAAAATAATAGTAATATGCCGAATGATACGCGAAGAGCTCGATTGATAATCTTATCATGTGACGTTTTCACTTACGGATTGTTGACATCCGGATTAGGAGTATGACGCCAATTGTTGAATTGTTGAACAGCATTTCCAACGCAATCCTCGTGACCGAAACTACACGCCCAATTTAGAACATCAATTCGAGTGAAAACTGTCAGCTGAGGATCTCCCACCTTGTCAATGAAACCGACTTGCTTGTACACGTTGTCCAATAATTTTAACACGTACAACTGAAGAATATATTAAAAATTATATTATGTAAATTCGTATAGCAAGTTATAAATTTTACATTCCTTGCACATTGCATATTTTATTTATCCATCGAATTGCCTATAAATCAATTAATTTTAGTTTGATCGCAATTTTATGTCTCGTATTGAAAATTTCATGTATTGAACATGTCTTTATAATATAGAAATATTTAATTATATCATTGCACAAAAAATTGTAAAAAAATTTAATTAACTTACATGTTTTAGGAATGATATACGATTAAAGACTATGAGAAGAGATCCGTCATTATATATGTAGCGAAGTAAAATATTAAACCAGAAAGTTTCAAGATTTAAACAACTAATAGTTTAAAGCTTTGCTCGAATATTTTTCGCTAGAATTTTTATTTGATAAGTATTTACCCTGAATTTATCGTAGCCCTGCGTTTTTATGAGCATGTCATTGAGGTAGTTAAGAGCATTGAAAGCTGCTTTCCAAGGTAAATACTCAGTTTCGTGCGCCAAGTAAGATGTAACATCGAGAGCGGTGCTGTAGTTCAGTTTGCCAGCTCGAGCCAGATTAAGAGCATCGTCAATCAACTGTGCTCGGTTAATTGTCGAAATATCTTTGAAATTTTGCTTGTTTAATTGTTTGATTATCATCTGCCAATTTGCTCTGTCATAATTTACTCTGTAGTATCCTGTTTTATATATATATACAATGTGAGACGCTTATGTTTCCATAATAGCGAACAAAAAACAAATAAATCTGTTACTTTTTAGAATATTCCAAGAATACCTTGTCTTTTTCAAAAAAGAGAAACAAAAAGTTTTTTTTATCTTATTTGATTTTACAATCTCCTTTTTGTCAAATTTACTTTATAATTTATGTTATTTATCAGCCGACTAGATTTTGATATAAAAGCATTAATCTTAATTAATTACGATTAAAAATTTATTTTCTTGAAAAATTAAAGATAAATACTGCATTAAAGATGGCTTTGATTTATAGAACATACAAATATGATTTTTTTTATCTACCATAATATAATTACCAGTTTCTTGCACGTTGAGAAGTATCCACTGAGACGAGCTTACATCCAAATTGTTGAGGATAATCGAGCGTTCCGCTTTCATCCATTTTGTGGGTTGAGTGTTCTTGAAGTTTAATTGCTTCTCGCTCGTATAAGTGATGGGTACCCACCATAATGGTTCCGACGGAGATGTAGTAACCTTCGTAGTACTATTACGAAGCAGGAAGCGTTCCTGTAAGAAACAAATGATGCATATAATACATTTATAATAAATTACATAAAACGTTAATTACTTGATATTAATAATTATTGATCAAATAATTTTCTGCAACAATAATGCTGAACTTTAATACAGTATACCTTTCATACATTTTATAATCTTTTTATATAAAAAATATAT